GAAACGCCGAAATTTAGGCTGAAATAAAAATGTGTTTGATAGGATCATCATTACGATGTATCAATAACAAAGACTATTAACAGGAGAAGGCTTAATTATAACCATTTTTGTTATCCACAAAACATCATTTATCTCTATTTTCACAGCCACCACTATCATCATTGCTATCAATATCATTATCACCCCCATCATCACCATTACAGCCCCACCCCCACCATGGTCATCATCATCATTATCACCACCACCATAATCATCACTATCATTATCATTATCATCACCATCATCATCAACAACMCYACCACCACATCGCGTACAATTCCGGGTCACTTCCGGTGACTTTGCTCATTTGCATACTATATCACGGAACGCCTGTCACATTTCATGCTAATTAATATCGAGGAATTACAAACAACAAGGAAGAATTCTTACTTTCCACTCTCGATCGCAATAACGGGTAAGCGTCAAAAAAAAATGTAGCACCGGAAAATAAGAGTAATACAACGATAGTTTAGTGTGCTTTAATCTTGCCTCTTAGCTCTTGGTGGATCCAGCGATTTTCTTTGAGTGAATACTGTGTCAAAATGGCGTCCTTTTGTATGSCAATGTCTTTAAGAAACGCCATAGCATGTCTTCGTAAATGCCCTTCTGAAAAATGTAGCACCGGAAATTTGATGTACATTCACTGCATTAAATGAATCCTGCATTTGTTTCTTTCGGCTTTAAAKGCGATATGCGATTTTTGAAGTATTTGTTCAGTCACTGTGGAGGCTGGTTTTGCCTCGTATTGTCTGMTGCACATCATCCTAGACCACCTGTTGGCTCTTTCYATTTCTGCAACTATGATATCTCTCCATCTTCTTCTGTTCGTGATATAGGAGTTGTTTTTGACGAACATCTATCTCTGGAAAAGCAAGTTACCTYTATCTGCAAGTCATGCTTTTTCCATATTAAGAACATATGGAAGATTCGTAGATTCATCTCTCTTGAAGCCTGTGAGACACTTGTCCATGCTTTGATATCTTCTAGACTTGAMAGCTGTAATTCCTTGTTGTATGGTCTACCTAAATATTTATTACAAAAGCTTCAGCATGTTCAAAATGCAKCAGCACGAGTTGTATCTTGTTGCCACAAGCACGATCACATCACTCCAGTTCTTTATCGTCTGCACTGGTTGCCTGTAGAGCAGCGTATCGAATTCAAGATACTTT